GCACCATTCACTACGTACCTGCAAAAAAGAGCGTAATACTAATGCTCCGCATATACAAACTGCGTCAATTACACACACTGTAAAACTCGATGGTTAAACACTGAGAACGCTGAAAAGCATTTGACGTCAGTCATACTTCTGGTCTCCTGGCATCAGTACGTAAAACTGATAACTAAAACATGCAGCGGAATTCGTTTACCGCTCAGAAACCAGCAGATAGTAAAAAAAAGTTGCGAAATCATTCGCTTTATACCACTTTTCGCGTGCTGATGATTTTTCTCGTCGTCCGACTGATTTCAAGATCCTCGGCGATCGCTAAGACTGACTGACAAGCGTGCTGGTCTTCCTTCTGGAGAACTGGTTTGAATTTAGTCGAATGTCAGCCTCCGAATGAGTCTCGTCATGCGCAGCAACAGCAAACATTCACCGCATCTTAGATAGGAACTTTCCGAAAATTTCTTGAGAAAAGTCATGGCAAACCTAGATCTACAGGCACGAATGAAACTCGACCGTAAATCCTCAATCCCGCTTGTAGCACGGCTACCAAGAGATCCAGACGCTAACAAACAAAACCACCATGTCATGCTCGGAGAGCAATAAAGCTTAATTTGTTGAAATGCAATTCGTTTCTAAATGCCATTTTGTTCCATGTAACTCCATGACGCTGGGTATTTGCAACTTTACCCATTATTAACGTTACCTATCACGTATTAGTCCAGAGATTCAAGTCGGCATTCGATCATTATCACATTTTGAACTACTGGACTGAAAGATCATAATCTGTTAGGAGCTATCTAAATGGCAGCTCCGACTCAAAATTGGCCTCTACCTCAGCATCGGGTAACGATTATCGTGCTAGAGCAGAATTCGCCAGTATTCATGGTACGATACAATCAACATGAGCGGTGAAGCTCATGGAAACGATACGATACACCACATGACCTTGTCTACACTTACCTTGTCGCTCGTAACTTACCTTAGCTTCGTTATACCAAGAAACATAAACTTATGATTATTTTCTGGACAAAGGATGAAGTTGCAGGCCTCAAACTAATGGAAAGGTGAAGTTCGCCTGATCTCTACTAACGCAG